GATCGTTCCACACCAGCAAGACGACCACCTTCGTCATGACAACGTGAAATTGAGCTCAATTATGCTGCAACAAAAATTTTCGATACCATTTTCTTAGGTTGGCACGTAACAGAGGCAACCATTGGTATCCAACAAATTCGACTCGAATATCGTTCTTTTTGGAAACTATACAGGTAGTTAGACTTGTATTCTTTTTCAACATTTGTTCTTATACTCATTCTTTGGAGTGTCTTTGATTTTGCTCTGTACTTCATTGACATGTTGGAGTATTCTTCATTTGGCTAATGGTAATGATTTCTTGTAGTTCGAATTAGCAACATCTGCTCTTCATTTGGTGTATTTTTCAATTCCTCTTTTAAGGTTAACGTGAGATTTTACATAAATTAATAAATAAAAAAATCACATATCTCTAAGAAACATCAACTTCGGAGATCATGAAAGCTTCAATTCCCTTTTCTCATATAATACCTATAAACAAGAAGAAGGACAAATATAATCCATGTGAATATAGTGAATATATATGCAGTATGAATGATCCCTTCTCCAAAACAGCTCTGTAGACAAAAAGAATATGAAGTCAAAAAGGCAAACCCCGGAGAACGGGGCAGGGTCGGGCGATAAGTTCCACCATTCCACCTCGGTTTAAATAGCGTTTCGGTGGTGGTAACAAACTATGCAAGATTTCTGTTCTGAGCTGCTTGATAGGGAGATATGCAGCAAGTAACACCTTAATCATCATTACCACAGCTAATGTTTGATTCTGTATCAATGGGTATAGATGTAACTCCCAACTTTAAAGCTCACTGAAAGGATTAGGACCCAGAAAAGCAGAAAGAAGAACAAGAAGCCTCGTGATCCCATGTTCCCGTTCTTCTGAGATTGTGCACCAAATATTGGCAACTGGGTGACGATATCGTCACGTTCACCTTGATGTCTATGTCGGGCAAAAGAAAGGATGAGGTCGACATCTGCATTCTTACCATATAAGGAACTCGACAGTTCGCCACTTGGTGTCGAGTTTCTTACACGGATCATTTGAGCAGTCACGTGAGCTGGACTGGAAGTTTGTGCTAATGAGTTCAGCCGAATGACCATATCCTTTGATGGGTACTCTGAAGCAAATGCTGGAGGAGCAGGGATGTTGCCCAACATGTAACTGGCACGTTTGAGGAATGGTGATTTTGAATCTAGAACAACAAGACAACCTTTATGAGTCATTGTGAAAAAGTATCTACCATCTTGATTCTACATATTAATGTTCAAATTTTTGTGTTGAGAATTCTATTTGAACCTGTTTCAATAGCCTCAGGGTTTGGCTTTGAAGTGGATGCATCATTTACGGAAGCAACGGACGCTTGTTTGGTAGCCATGAATTCTTTTTCAACCTGCTTGAAGGTTTTATTGAAGTTAGATTCAAGGTTAGAAATCCCAAGTTGTCAACGGTACTACTACATGAAAGGTAAAATTACCTCTTCAGGAATTGCTTGACCAGAAATAGGTTCTTCACCGCCCAAAATATCCGATGGTTCGAAATCCAGATGTAAGTTATCATCTGCATCAAAGAATGTAAGATACTCTTCAAGCAGGTCGAAACTAGTTGGATCGGACTCAGCTGGATTTGAAAGATCATTCGCCTCTAGGAACAGTTCCTCATTGAGGGCAAGATCATCAGGAACACTTGGGTAAGGCTCATCGAGTAAGTAATCAATATGCTCGTCCTTTTCAGAATTCGCTCCCATTTGGTATTGCTCTGGTTGAAAGAATTTGTGGCTCTGCTGTAGCTCAACTGTTTCGCTTGCACATGTTTCTGGTTTATTATCATTTTCAACAAGCACATTGGGTAACATAACATGATTGCTAGCATCTTGAGGACAGTTCGACGGAAGTTGAGTACATTCACATGGCAGTTCTCCATCAAAATACTGCTGCCAAAAAGAAAAAAAAAAACATCTTAATTACCTTGAAAGTTCTATGTATAAGAGCATGACAGAATAAATTAGTTAAATAAAGAACACTTTCCAACAGATCATAACTGCAACTTTTAGCACCTAAAGTTGGCAATATGAACATAGCTCAACAGAAATTGGCTATAAGTGATCTTTTGAGGTTGGAGTTTCAAATCCCACACCCCAAATTTCTCATATATATATATATGTGTGTGTGTGTATATATATTATATATATATATATATATTTATATATATATTTATATATATATATATACACACAATGAGGCCATCCCCTGGGGTGGAAAATTCTTTAGCGCCTTCAAAATTTGTTACAACTTTTTTCCTCCTATAACTGCTAGAAAGAAAAGTTTTACTGAGACCATTGCTCTCAAAGGGCTCTTCATCTCGCCATTAAAAGATTTAAAGTACACTTTGAGAAGGAAATTTAGTTCATAATCATGCTTCCACCCTTGTTGTCTTGCATTTTGTGATCTAGAGCTTCAGTTTGCCTAAGTGGTTTTCGTTTACCAGCACGTAGGTGCTTATTCTTGACCCTTACCCTTTCATTTACACATGCTTCATATTCCATAAGCAAATAATGGATCATCCTACTTTCCACTTGTACAGTTCACAAGAAAAACATAAGATCTTGAGCACACTTCAAACTAACTAAGCAGCAAGTAGCAGTGTGTGAGAGAAGACTGGTTTAGATAATCCCGTGTGACTTTACTAGTGACCGGAATATGGTATATCTTTTTCATTGAGGCAACACAAGAATTCGAAAATTGAAAGTCCATCCAAAATGATGCTAAATTGAGTAGCAGATAGAAGGTCATAATATCAGAACAAGCACAAACCTGAGCAATGTCATCCACTTCAAAGTGCATATCTTCACTAACATCAACTGACCCTTTATTGGCCACAATTTCCTCGCCGGGCAGAGTTAACTCTTCATCCTCCTCCCACTCCTCTTCGACAAATGGAGCTCCATATTGTTCTCCATTTTTAGGGCCTGGACCGCTCTTTTGAAATACCCTACAAAGCACAAAAGCATCCTGCCCATTCAACACAATAGCCAACCAATTCAGTCACAACTCAGAGGAAGATCGAGCGAGCAAACACAAGAAAACCCCAACAAGGAAAACGAATTTTTGTTCTTGAACAATATCCTCACCTGCACGACCCCAGCTTTCTCCAAGCCCTCATCCGTAAGTCTGTATTCGTGCATCACCCAATTGCTACGAGCCCCGCGAGGTGCCCGCCCGCTGTGGTAAACAAGAGTCTTCTTCATCCCAACTACTCGGGAGTTATGTCGTACCGGCCGGTCCTTCCCAGTCGTCTTCCAGTACCCCTTCTCGGTAGCTCTGTTTGTCCTCGAACTATTACCATACTTCTTATCCAAAGGGCTAAAAAAGTACCACTCCAAGTCCCTGCTCTTCAGCTTCGACTTCCCTGAAAATAAAATTCCCAGCAAATAACGACTCTATCACCTTAATTCACACCAAAACATACACAAATCAAAAAGAGAAATCGAAGGTATCTTACCAGGCAGGTCCCAAGGCTCCGACTTATATATGTCGGTGACGGAGACAGGATCAAAACGGATGGGTTTGCCAGAAACCTTGCGCCTAAGGTAATAGCCCACGATTTCCTCGTCGGTAGGGTGAAATCGAAACCCCGGAGCAAGAGAGGTAGTAGAATCACGGCCCATAAGCAAAACAACCAGACAATCAAAGATCGATTAGGGTTTAACCGAATTCCGAACAAAAAAATTGACGCGTAAAATGGAACTAGGATTGAAGACGAGTTTTCCAAATTTATCTTCAGGAATTAATCCTCCGATTTTCAATCAATCAGAATCATATGGATGAAAAAAATCGGTAGACGGAGCAAAAACAAAATCGATCAATTGCCAAAATAAAAGTCTATTTTCTCTTCTTCGCTCTTAATAAAGAAGGTTCGGGAATAAATATAGCCTAAAATCACCCGTCTGTCACACTTTCCAAGTGAACGCGTCAGTTATAGCTGGTGATAGGACCGCTTTGGACTGAATGCGAGCAATCAAATATCTACACGTGGACTACTTTCAGTGGTCCGTGACGAATTTGGTAAGTTTACCATGACGTAACTGCATCCGTCAGATTAATCTCTATCACCCGATGAAATGCAATCGTAGGGTTAACGTCAAACCTTCACTAAATTGCCTTTATTCCAATTTTAAATTAAGATGTGATGCAATTACACTTATATATAATTAATTATGTTATTTTCTTATACAAAACTACTGAAAATTATTTACCAAAGTGATTTTAAAAAATATTCGCCCCAATATGCCCTCGGAGATTCTACTTCCCCCACTGTTGCAAAAAGAAACGTCAGGGATACAAGTGTAATTTAAAAAATAATAAATAAATAAATAAATAAATATATATATATATATATATATATATATATATATATAAAAGTTAAAAAGTATCATTTTTTATCGATATACTTTGCCTTTTATTTTATTTTATTTTTAAATTTTAATTAGTGTAAAATTGTTTTTATTAAAATTAGCAAAATAATAATAATAATAATTTTCAAGCTAGAAAATTCATTATGTTAATACATTTTCAAAATTAATAAAAGAAATACTAATAAATTTTTATATATTTTTTTTAAATAATGAACTACCCATCAATCTATTAATATATTTTAATTTATAAATAAATAAAACAAGTGTTATTGACTAAATAAAAACAATATTATTTATAATTAAAAAATATTGTAAGTTAGAAATCAATATTTTTATATGTCCACATCATATCGACATTTTTATCAATATTTTCACATATTTATAAATTAATATTTTTATTATATCGTAAAAAAATATGAAACATATAACTAATCGATTTAAATATAATATGAATAATATAAATAATATAAAATTTTACTTAGTTTAAAAAGTGTAAATGTTTATTTATTAATTTAAATACATTTCCTTCATTTAATTTTCTACCAAAAATTAATGGGATAATAGTTTCTAATTTAATCGATGGTTTAAGGATCTATTAGAAATTGTAATTTAACCTAAATTTTTCAATTAGAAATGCTCGATGTTCTCGATAATGGGAGCTTACCCGATCCATGGCGGCCATTGAAACGACGCCGGATCGATCTCTTTTATCCTCTTCAGCGGCTGGAAGATTGAGATCCAATTCCAAACACAACAAATTACTTCTATGCCTCTGAGGACGACGATGAGCAATTTCGCCGGAATCTCTGCCGCAGCCACGGCGGTGGCGGCGCATGTGGCCGCTGAGGGCCTGGACGGAAGTGAAGCCGGAGCCACAGACGGAGAACTCGTGCGTCTTGTGATAATAACCGGTTCGGTTCATACGAAGTGGATCGAAAGGGCTTGAAATGGTGTTGTTGAGTCGCTGTTGTTGATGTTTGTAGGCCGGCGATGTGCCGGAGATCGATTTCTGGTCGCCGGCGGCCATGGCGGGGTTCTTGTGGCTAGACCGATGGCCGCCTAGGGCTCGAAATGATGGGAATGTTCGGCTGCAGGTTTTGCACTCGTATGCGTAACACTCTGCTGCCTTGCCCGCGCCTACAATTTAAATTAGATATTATTATTATTTTTTAAATTTTAAATTCTTATATATATATGTTATAATTACCATTTTGACCTTGTGGGGCTTCGATGAATTTTACCATCGAAGAGGACGGTTGAGAAGCTGGTAGGCCTTGAGAAAGAAGGATGAGGCACTTCGCCACATCCTCCTGCTCATCCTCGCCGCCGCTTCCGCCGCCGCCGCCGCCGCCTCCGCCAATGGATGAGGAGGAAGAAGATAAATTACAGCGACCAAGAAGCTCAGAATTTGGTTCACTAAAACCATTTGGATTCATCTGCAATTTTTTTTTTCTGCTATCAGATTATGATCTTCTTAAGACCATATATATAATATATATATATAGGATTTTAGGTGTTTTAGAATTAAGGGTTAATGAGTAAATATAAATAGAGATCTAAAAGTTCGTATTTTGGATTCGATCTCTTTAAAAATAGCATTGATTTTGATGGATTCGTTCTTATATACCAAGTCTTAAATTCTAATAAAGGGCGGATCCGAGTAGATTCATCATGATTTTTGGCAAAATTAACCTCAATTAATTTGAGACAATACTAAACATTGTTGAGTCGAGCTATCTTACATGAGCCAATGGATACGAGCTACACAGGTTTTAGTGGCAAGGAAGTAAATTACGAGCTAAACGTAATTTTTGTAGTTTATAAACGCATTTGATCCTTAACTAATTATATATCACGTAGGCAAGAAGCCTCCTTAGATCTTAATTGTGTTTTTCACGATATGAACTAAATTATTACAAATATGTCGACACTAAATTATTAAGAATTATGAGAGTACGAGGACTAAATTGTAAATCATTACAAAATAAAGTTTAGGGCCTAAATTGTTACTTCCACAAAAGTTCAAGGACCAAAAATGTATTTTTTCAACCTAATAATATCATGAGCCGTGATATCGAATGAATCATAATAGATTCACGAGAGTTTTGGCGACAAATTCTTGTCATTTTCAAGTAGTGTAAAATAAGGTAATAATTTGCTAGTAGGACATCGTGATGAGCATGTGGGGTTGGATGGTGGTAAAACCAAACGTGCTTTCGAGAAAGCCATGTCCTATTTTGCATACCTCCAATGACTTTTTTTACTTTCGTTTGGTACTATATGGTTTCTAGCTTGGAATAAAAGACATCGGCTCCAATGAAATTTTCGATTACTTTTAGTGATTAGAAAAATGAAAAATCAAATATTTAACAAACAATACTTAAAAAATACAAAAACAGTCAAATTCAATCTAATCGACCTTAGTTGTCATCAAACATATTCATATGAACATAAATCGTTAGGTCATAGTAAAATAGAGAGAGAAAAACAAGAACTTCCCAACATCAACATAAAATCTCAAGAACTTCATTGAGTTTGAATGAACTTTTGGTGTCTTTAACCATCCAGATGGTGGGTTAAGTGTGTCCCCTTTTGCACAAAGGCCAAGCTTTGAATGCTTTAATAATGAAGGGGGAATCTACAAAGATTGCTGCACTAATTAAAGCCACAGCAGACCCACTATGAATGGTGGGTATCTCCTAATTCTACACAGACAAAGCAGAATCTTTGTGAAGATCTATCTTTCCCCTGTATGTAGTAATCATACTTCATCTCTTAAAACAGAGCAAAAGCAGCAAAAGGGCCCGAGATATTGGCCAAAAAGTGCACAAAAATGAACTCTAAGCATCAACATTCAGCAGCAAATCATTAGTGATAAAAGTAATACGGTATATGTAACGGCCTAAACCCACTACTAACAGATATTGTCCTCTTTGGGCTTTCCCTCAAGGATTTTAAAACACGCATGCTAGGGAGAGGTTTACACACACATTAAAATGATTCGTTCTCCTCCCTAACCGATATGGGATCTGACAAGATGATCCATAAACAAAGCCGGGGTGGTGGTTCTGTCATTCTTGTTCAGACAGAATGGAAATGAATGGCATTTGTAGAATCATAAAATTTGTTCAAAGTACTTTGTACTTGATTTTTGGAACGAAGTGAATGAGAATTCACCCAGTTTTTTTGTTGGGTGTAACTGTGATTTGAAAGAGAATGGAACAAACAATCTCCAGATTATACATCTCACAGTCACAGCACAAAGAAAAAAAGATGACAGTAATTCAGTAGATGGGTATTGAAAAGAAGTAGAGAGAATGAGGGATCAGAGTTACTTGGACTGTTACTGGGCCACTTTTTGATGCTTCTGGGAATGTTGAGAGACGTCAGAGAGATGTGATTGGGTTCTCTTTCTAATGTCAATGGCAGAGCTTTGAGCTGGGGGCCGTGAAGGGCGAGATGAGATGATCACCGGTGGGATGTCGCTTGAGTCGATGAGCAGTGGCGGGTGCTGCCAATGAGGCAGTGGCCCGGCAAGGAGGAGATTCTGGAGAAGAGGGCCAGCTTCAATCACTGCCTGTAGAAGCTTGCCTTTCTGTGGCAATGGCGTGTCACAGGCGTTTTTCCAAACACTTGAGGGGGGTTCTTGAGATAACAATGGCTTCTCGTTCTCACAGGCATTTTTATGGACAGTTGGTGGGAGTTCTTGAGATAACAATGGCATCTCATTCTCACACGCATTTTTCCAAACAGTTGGTGGGTGTTCTTGGGATAACAATGGCTTCTCATTCTCACAGGCATTTTTACAAACAGTTGGTGGGAGTTCTTGAGATAACATTGGCTTCTCATTCTCATAGGCATTTTTACAAACAGTTGGTGGGAGTTCTTGAGATAACAATGGCTTCTCATTCTCACAAGCATTTTTACAAACAGTTGGTGGGAGTTCCTGACATAACAATGGCTTCTCATTCTCACAGGCATTTTTAGAAACAGTTGGTGGGAGTTCTTGACATAACAATGGCTTCTCATTCTCACAGGCATTTTTACAAACAGTTGGTGGGAGTTCTTGACATAACAGTGGCTTCTCATTCTCACAGGCATTTTTACAAACAGTTGGTGGGAGATCTTTTAATAACAATGGCTCTCCCACAATCGGGTCAGTTTGTGGAGATTGAGTTGCGTTATCATCAGAATCAGAACAATCAAAGATCTTGCTAGAGTCACTATCACTTTGTGGAGTGATATCAAGTTCCTGATTCTTGTGCTGTTCAAGCAGAAACAAATTTTCCAACATTAGCTTACCACATTTTGCTTCAAATTCATCTTTCTCTTTAATGGCTCTATCGAGAAGATCCCTCAAGTTCATAATTTCACATTCTCTCCTCAAAATCTCCTCCTTAGCTGACATTATTGTTGTTTCAAGCTCCAAATTCGTGTAGAAAAGAGCATACCTAAGCTCTTCCATTCCCTGAAAAACATGGATCAGTTTAGAACAAAACCCAGAAACCCAAAACTTCAACAGAAACAGAATCAAATGAGATACCCACATCTTGATGAGTGCAGAATTCCCAGCTCAAAGATGTGCAATCAGCCTCCATTAATTGAATTGCAGTGACCAATTCGGATGAATTTGATGAAGAAGAAGAAGATAGAAAGGAGCTTCTCCGTTGATTTTTGCTATTGACAGAGGAAAATTGTTGGCATTCCTCTCTTATTTTCTCATTCCTTTTCACTGTGTGATGGGTTTCTCAGTCCAAGTAATAAGGGCTATTTATAGAACAATCATTTCCAACGTGTCATTGCAAAAAATCATTATAAAAAAAAAAATTATATTTATACAATATATATAATTTTAGTTTTTGTACTTATTTTAAATATTTAAATTTAATTCTTATATTTTAAATCGTCTTTTAACATTAATTTTTATCAAAATTATTAAATAAGAATGATAATTTCTACTGAGAATCATGACGTAAATATAATTTTAAAATAATAAAATTAATAGGGACAAATTTATAACATTTTTTTTAAATTAAATAAACATAAATATAGCTTTTATCATTATTATTTGTTAGTTAAATTGTTCAAACTCATACAATGCTTGGTAATGATGATGTTCTACCTGTCATGAATTGGTTGAAGATTCAGATTCAAAATCATTGATTTTTTTTTTTTTTTTTTTTGGAAAAAAAAAACACAAACAAACTCCAAGACTTTCATAGTATGGACAAGTAATATTAAAAGAAGTGCTAAATAGAAATTAATAAATGCTAAAATGAGTGAAGTTTAATGAATTAACAAAAAAAAAAAAAATTGAAGAAAAAAGGAAGCATGCGAGAGAGAAGAAAACGAAATTTCTTATAGAAACTTCTCTGTTCAGTGTGCAAGTCAGCTGAACACCGTGATTGATGAGTGGATAAGTGCAAAGGTGAAGGAGCGAAGTAATGAGACTGATAGGAAGAAGAGCAGAACTTTTTTCTTCGTCTAAACGTAAGCTTCGTCTAGTTTTACGATCTATCAGCATAGGGACTAAAATTGAAACAATAGGGACAAAAATGCAAAAACATTATAGTTTTACGATCTATAACGAGTTTTCAACAGGGACTAAAATGCAAAAACATTATAGAATTAGTAAATTGGCATAGTCTATGGATAAATGTATAATGATAATAATTTGGGAGAATCCCATCACTTCCAGCAAATCATAAAATTGATTTATGAGGCCAGCCAGAACGCATTGAGCTTTTTTCTTTCTTTTACACTTGGAGGAGGATTTGAAGGAGAAAAGGATGAAACATAAAATCCACCTTTTTCTTTAGCATGTGAGAGCAGGTGAATTCTTTAGGGGTCCACACACCACCACATGTTCTCTCTCCTCGTAATTTTCCAACACTCGACTATGCCTGAAAGAACAATGCTTACCTTATTTTCCAACACTCGACTATGCCTGAAAGAACAATGCTTACCTTACCATATAAGAGTAGATTGGTCATTTGGAGCTACTACTGATTCCGACTTGGGATGATTAGAGCTCCAAAAAAAGGTCGAAGAAGGAAAACAATCGAAACGAGGGTCCGGAGGCAAATTAGCTAGGAAGAAATCTAATATGAAACATGAAAAGAGGAAAAATTAGTACATTCTCTTGGTACCCCTTTTCTTTTGTCTACCCATTGAAGGTTTAACAAGCTAGGACCCATAATTTTGTCAAAAGAATACGCATGTCAGAGATAATATCTAAGTGCAGCTCAATCAATTTAGAGTTTAGAGATGTTGTAACAATTCAAGTCCACCGCTCGCAGATATTGTCATATTTGGATTTTTCCTTTCCGGGCTTCCCCTCGAGGTTTTAAAATGCATCTCTAGGGAGAGGTTTCCACACCCTTATAAAGAATACTTCGTTTTCCTCTTCAACCGATGTGGGATCTCACAATCCGCTCCCTTCGGAGCCTAGCGTCCTCGCCGGCACTCATTCCCCTCTCCAATTGATGTGGGATCTCACAATTGAGCTACGGGAATCTCATATAGGATAAGAACTAAGGCTATGCAGGGAGACAGTAAAACAGAGAAAAGGTCCAATTAACGTGGGATCTCACAATTGAGCTACTGGACGTTCATATCAGATAAGAACTAAGGCTATGAAGGGAGACAGTAAAACAGAGAAAAGAAAAGGAAGGACAAGAATGAAGATTGGCTTGATGTGCAAAAGCCAGCATAAGTGTGATAAAACAGAGCCTTGGACTAATTCAAGCATCAGATAGGCAAAGAGCTAGACTTGAAGTATAAACAATTGTGCTACATCCAACTAGATGCATCAGTTTAATTTGCCAAGACAAAACAATAGTGTTGTTTCAAGGAAGCTTTTTTACAGTCCTAACTAATTGGTCATTTTAGCCTAAAGGTGTTGTGAATGGTTGATTTCATCGTCTAGTCTTAATGTCGGAAGCAAACTCGAGCTTTCTACAGTAAGTGCACAATCTAATGCTATCAAAGGATACAGATACAGAACTAGTGATCACAACTCTCCCCTCACTTGACAACAGGAAAAGGAAATTTGGGTTAAGATTGATCATACCGGTCTGCGCATCTTGACGTTAAGTGGAATTTCCTTGTAGGACTGAATTTTTTCAGCGGCTCGCCTTAACGGCCTACCAACGGATGTCCTCCGACGTTCTTGAACTTCAGATCTATCAGTAGAATTGCCATTATCTTCTGTTTCTACTGATGAAGTTGGAACAATTTTTACTTCACATACGATCTCGTTGCATAGAGAAGCACTGGTAGAATTGGAATTTACAGTATCAAGTGAGTCTTTGATAGCCACTGGTTCCTCGAGTTTGAATCTTGCAGACTGCCTTCTCAGACAAGGCCTGCTAAGAAATTCAATGAAGTTCATGTTCAATATCTCTTGTATGCTATATTATCTGGAAAATTTTCTGAAAATGTGAAGCCAAATAAGGCAATTAAATATCCACGAACAGACCTTATGCCTTCACCCTTCTGGACCTCTGTTTGAAGAACTGAAGTTTCTCTACATTGAGAAGCATCGGTAGAATTGAAATTTTCTATCCCTAATAAGTCATTTGTAGCAACCGGTTCCTCATTTTTCAATCTTGCAGACTGCCTTCTCGAACAAGGCCTATTGAAAATTCAACGAAGCTCATGTTCAACAATATGTATTTATGCTACATCATTTTGAACACATCCTGAAAACATAAAACCCAAATAAAGCAATTGAATCTCCATGAACTGACCTCTTGCCTTCGACCTTTTGAACCTCTGCTCGACGAACTGAAGTCTCTTTACATTGCAAAGCATCATTAGAATTGGAATTATCTGTCTCCAAGATGTGGTTTGCAGCCACTGGTTCCTCGGTTTTGAATCTTGCAGATTGCCTTCTAGGCCTGTTAGAAATTCAATCAAGATCATATTCGATTTATCTTTGGTATGGAATATAATCAGATAAGTCCAAATATAGCAATTACATATCCATGAACAGACCTTTTGCTTTCAACCTTGTGAACCTCTGTCTGAAGAACTGAAGTGCCAAAAGCTGCATTCAGAAGAAAATTGGTTTTAGATAATGACAATATTCATATCCTGAAGCTGAAGGTAATTTGTGCACTGGCACTTACATTCTTTTCTGGATTGTCGTCGCCTGTTAGTTTTGCAAGGCCTATTACCCTCATTTGTATTCATAGATTCCACTGCCTCACTACACTCGGCGGTCCCTACCTTGAGGTAGAGAAAAGAAAAGGGTAAGTAGCATAAGAAATATTTACTAAAGAATAACAACAGTATTGTTTATGTACCCCTCCAGGCTGAAATGTCACTGCTTTTCCTTTTCTCTGGAAGAAGAGTTTCGGTGTCAATAATCAATAAGCACTTAATTGCAAATTTGAATGACTAATAAAAATTAAAGTAACCTCCAAATCAGATTTTCTCGACATAAGAATGCCATTTTTACATCCAAGCTCGTGTTGAAGGGCTTTCAGCTGCAGAACATAAAATTACATTCAGTTGCAGCAAATTAAAGGGTTCGATCTGCAAACTAAATCAAATTTCAGATGATAGAAATTTCACTCACCCTTTCTTTACCTGAATTAAGTTCCTAAAAATAGAAAGAACCACGACGTCAAGTGTAGAAGATTATTAAAATTTATTTTCTAGGATACTAACTTGCCATGAACAAGTGATAAAATGGAAACTAAAGACACAAAGATGCAGGTGCAAGATTACCGCAAACATTTGACTGTTTGCTTGGGCGAATTGCAGATTCTGCTGCTGCAATTTCTGAAAATTGGTTCTCAATGTCTCTAACTCATTTCTACTTATCTCAATTATATGACTATTCGAAGATACTCATCAAGGAAAAAGAAAGTTCATCGATTATATATGTACGTACGTACATATGTAGATATAAAGCCCAAACAGAAAAAACAAAGACTAATTCGTTATGGATTATGACTGTCACAAAGGATACTTTCTTTCTGCAAGAACTTTCGTAAGTGCCATATTTTCCTGGAAAGAAAAATAAAAGCATCATCAATAAGATGAGCCAAAACTGGGCAGCTTATAGAACACATCAGAAGTACCTTCTGTAACTTATCAACATATTCATAGGTCTTAAGCAAACTAGACTGCTGCGTCGTATCTCGCTTCTGCAGTACAGGTTGCTCCTTCAAGTTGCTTATATCGGAAAGCCGTTTCCTCTGGGCGCCTCCTACTTTGGAGCTCTTCATCGTTTTCACTCCAGCTATTTCCATGTTTTGACTAGCTAAATAACAACAAACCCTTTCAATGCATACTAAACTAGTGAATGACTAGCTTCAATTTACTAAGAAGAGCACGAGGTAGTTCATCCAAATTCAATTATTCTCCAAAAAATCTACAAAAACGTATGCAGATTAAAAACCCTAAAAATCGTAAAAACAACGGGAGTAAATGTTGTGCATTCAAAACCTAGAATCCTTGTTAAACCATATAAACCACGAAATGCAATTAGGATTCCAATTAAGCAACCTCAATTCATCAAAATCGAATGATTTTCAGGAAAACTAACAGTAAGGAATCTGCAGAATTCGAAAGCAATAGAAGGAACAGATCAAGAAGTTAGTCCTAATGGAAGAAATCAAAAACAAAAAGTACCTCCAACACCGTAGTTCTTCGAATCGAGCGAAATGCTACACTCCATGTTGGAGACTCTATGGTTGAATCCTAAAATCTTTCTGCTCGAACGACGGATCTTGGAAAGGACAGAGTTACTGAAAAGAGAAATGAATTCCGAGCAGGATTAAGCGCGAAATTGATATAAGTTGAGGGTAAAATTGTAAAATGTTACCGGGAGCACAACGGCTGTCCGAAGCAAGTTCGAAGCTATTTCAAAACTTCGTACGGCTACCCCGAACCCAACGTTTCTAATGGGGCGATGGGCTTTCATATTGGGCCGTAATCGGGTTGATAGGCCTAATATGGAAAAATAATAATAATTAAAATAATAAAATAAAATTCTCAAATAGCTCACCAAAAATTAATTAAAAAAAATTATCGACGAATTTCTTTTAATAAAAAAATTATTTTTTGTTTATTAATGTTCTTTGACTTTTGTATACCTATAAGTTCATAATCATTGTTATCATGAAATAATTTTTATTAAAAAAATATAAAAATATATTTTAATTTTATGCAAGTTGATGGAATTAATTAGATATTACAACCTCCAACCATTATATATTTTCCAAATCAATATTTATTATTATTATTATTATTATTATTATTATTATTTTAGATTTAATTAATTTGAGATATTTTTGTTTATTTATTTATTTATTGATTCGTGGTTTTTTTTTTTTTTTTTTGCTGTATATTTTGTAATTTTAAAGGTAATAAGTGAATATTCAGCTCTCTTCGTTATTATCAAAAAGCAAAAATTATAAATAAGAAAAAATAAATTAAAAAAAAAACCGTCCGACCACCAAAAATAACTTTTTAAGTTTGAGTAAATTCTTCATTTTTTCTTTTTAAAATTAACGAATTTTTTTTAAAAAAATAAAGAAATGAAATAATCCTTTTAATAATTTTCAAATAAATAATTTTCATATCTATCCGATATTTTAAAAATCAAATATCTCGACTCTTTCACTAATCCATCCATTGCAATAATTAATATGCATTCCTTACTCGAGACCACAAATTTAAACCCTACCAACTCCGCAGTATTTAACAAACACTTCTCACTCGAGACTGTAGTAGTTCATATTTAACATGCAGGTAATTATCTAAAATTAAACAATATAATAAAATTGTGACATTTTCCATGCAACACTAAACACATATTTTTTTTTGGCATTCACTCCTCAGCAACAAAGTGAATTAAGCCAATTCGTTTGCGTGTCGCGTACGGTCAGGCAACATATGCTCAAGTCTCTGGCTCTGATTTAAGAAGAAAGTTTTGAAAAACGGGAGCAAAGAGGTGTTCGAAAGAGAGTTTAAAAACAAGATTTAGTGAGAGATTGAAAACAGTGTTATATAGCATGCAAGCAAAGGCAACAACGGTTTAGTAATATATAACTATTCGAGTAAGGAGAAGTTGGCAACTACCCATATCCTCTTCTATTTTGGAGCATTTTAGCTATGGTGTAAACATGATTCGGGTGAACTGAAAATATATAACTATTCGAGTAGGGAGAACTTGACAACCGATCATGTCTCCCTCTAGTACATTTTGGGGTATTTTAGCACTGTTAGGTGTAGACATGATTCTAGTGAACGGTCATACACTCCCGTATTGACCCGATATAAAATGGTAAAAGCCTATCTAAAATGAAAAGGATGTAAAATGGGTTTTGGAACGGACATACAACCATAAACTAACACGGGTTGATCTAGGACGAAAATTAAAAATTGAAGTAGCACTGACCACTAAAATGCTCCAAAAACACAACATTTAACACAAAAGGAAAAAGCATAAGATATTAATGAAGAATCAAAATAAAGAACATTAGAACAGAGTGTCTCATTTCAGCTCAGCTCAGCACAGATTTTTTTAATAGAGAGACAGAGAAAGAAGGAAGAAGCCCATCTTCACTCTCCTTGGCTGTGTCTCTGGATTATACGCTTTTAGAATAATGTGTTCATATCCCTAGAACAAATTTGGGTGACCCAAAAACCAGGTAGAAAAATGTCAGCAACAGGCTGCAAAAGGACACACCTAAAGGGCCAAGGAGGAGGAGGAGGAGGAGGAGGAGGAGAGAGAATAGACAGAGGAAGGAGGACAGAGAATCATTTCTCTTTCAATTTCTCCTTCTTCTTCTTCTTCTTCTTCCATCCATTCTACCTGGTTTTTGGGTCACTCTCCCATGTTCTTTCTTTTTGATTTCTCATTTTCCTAAGCTGTTTTGCAGATTCATTCATAGTTAAGTAGATTTGTTCTTGAGAATTTGAGAGAAAGGTACCTGAAAGTGAGTCTGGTTCTTGTTCTTGTTCTTGTTCTTCCTGTTGTTCTTGTTCAGATTAAGCAGTTCCCAACCAAATTTAGAAGCAGATATGTTTGCTACCACTGGCATTCTGTTCTTCATCTGGGTTTTGAGCTCATCTCTGCCTCCTCCTGCCATGGCTACTTTCGCCTTCAATCTCACTGTTCCTCATCTTCTTCCAGATCCTGAAACTGTTGCTTATCAAGTTCAGAGGTAACACATTTGACTCAGTTTTGTTGGTTTTCACCAAGAAATGCCCCAAATGGGGGTTTTCTGCACTTTTGCTCTTGTTGGCATTTTATCGAACACTTGCTGTGCATACTGTATTGCTTAAGCTGCAGGGGACTGTTTCCATGGCCGTCCACATTAATCCATGGATATCTTTGTTTCTTGCAGGGCTGTGAACGATTCCTTTTCCCGGAGGCAAATGCTGTCCGTTAATTCGAAAGATCAATCCAGTTCCTGTCAAACTGGAAACCCTATCGACGATTGTTGGCGCTGCGACTCGAACTGGCAAGCCAATCGCCAACGACTCGCCGATTGCGGCATTGGATTCGGTCGAGACGCCATGGGAGGGAAGGGAGGTCAGATCTATGTTGTTACAGATTCCTCCGATTCCGACCCTGTGAACCCCCGCCCTGGAACTCTCCGCTACGCGGTGGTTCAAGACGAACCTCTCTGGATTGTTTTTGCTGCAGATATGACAATCAAACTCAAATACGAACTCATGATGAACAGTTACAAAACCCTAGACGGCCGCGGCGCCAATGTCCATATCACCGGGGGCGGTTGCGTCACACTTCAATACATCTCGAATGTTATCATCCATAACATTAACATCCACCACTGTATTCCTACCGGCCACACCAACATCCGGTCGTCCCCCACGCACATCGGATACCGAGGAAAGTCCGATGGCGACGGAATCTCGATCTTCAGCTCGCGCAACATTTGGATCGATCATTGCTCACTCTCGTACTGTACCGATGGCTTAATCGACGCCATAATGGGATCTACCGGAATCACGATCTCCAACAACTACTTCTCGCACCACGACGAGGTGATGCTGCTAGGGCACGACGATGGCTACTCGCCGGATTCGGCTATGCAGGTGACGATTGCGTTTAATTTGTTCGGCGAGAAGCTCGTTCAGAGGATGCCCCGGTGCCGGCGAGGATACTTTCATGTCGTTAACAACGACTTCCGATCGTGGGAGATGTACGCCATCGGCGGCAGCGGTGATCCGACTATCAACAGCCAAGGGAACCGGTATATTGCTCCGGGAAATCCCAACGCGAAGGAGGTACGTTAACGTTATTCTCTCTCTGTATCCACTCATTAATACAGTTCGCCGGCGCGTTTTAGGGACGCGCCGATGAAGGAAATTATTGATAGGAAAGGTAGAGGGATTAAGGTAAATATCCTCAATTTCTAAATGATTTTCATTTTTTTTTTTCAATTTATCATTAATTTAATTTTTTAGCCATTAATTATTATTTTTTAACTAAATATTTTTGTATTGCATATGGAGAAGTTTTTAATTGTTTATTTAAAATTATCTTTAGGGTATTTTTTTCAAATTATTTTTTATAATTTAACTTTATAATAGACTTAATTAGAAATTTAAAATTATTTAATGCATAAATAGTAATTTCTTATAAAGTGCGGGGCAGAACTGAAAATATCAAAACTTAAAGGGCATGAGTAAAAAAATTTTTAAAGCGGTGATTTGACGGGACCGTCGTCAACCACAGTCTTGACGTTCCGGACTTCATTAAAAAAATTAACTACAGTTCACACGTGGGAATAATTATTGGCTGTGTGGAAAAGTGCAAGCAATGAAACGGTGCCGTTTTGGGGTGCAGGTGACGAAGCGCGTGGACACAAACGCGGGGGACTGGTCGGAGTGGAACTGGAGGACGGAGGGGGACATAATGGTAAATGGAGCATTTTTTGTGCCGTCCGGGGAAGGACTGAGCAATATGTACGTTAAAGCGTCGAGTGTGGCGCCCAAATCCGCCGCTCTCGTCGATCGCCTGACTCTCAACGCCGGTGTCTTCGGCGGGGCCAGGTACTTTTTCTCATTGTGAAATTACCAAAATACCCTTGCTTTTAAAAAATAAAATTGAGAGAATCTAGGCCCTTGAAAACAGCTCACTTATTTATTTTATTGGAAAAGGAACCCATTGCTTTCCCATTAATGTCATCAATTTTTAAAGAGAATGATATCAAATAATGTTGGTCTCTCTATAATAAAATATAATTCCCATATTTAAAAGAAAATTAGAGAGTGAAATTACCAAATACTTTTAATAATTGGATATAATTTCATAAATTTTTATTTGCATTATTGGATACTAATTCAAAATAGTAAAATTATCAGCTACATTTTAAAAGCTTCTTTAAATAATTTTTGTTTTCTTTCTGGTTTTTGAGTAATATTAATTCAATTGTAAGGGTAGAGTTGTCATTATAGAGATTTAAGTGTGATGTCTCACATTAGTCGGGGAGGAGAACAAAACACCCTTTATAAAGGTTTATAAGGGTGTGAAAACTTTCCCCTAGCCGACGCGTTTTAAAGATTTGAGAGTAAGCCCGAAAAGAAAAACTCAAAAAAGACAATATCGGGTTACATCAATAAAGACAGAAATAAAAAAGGGAAAGTAAAAAATAAATTACCTTTCCAAGTTGTTAGCATAAAAAGGGTAAAAGGGAGAAGAGTAAGTGCATGTGTGTGTATGATGACAGAGAAAAGAAGCAGTTGGGGCAAGTGGGGTTTTTTCATTAAATTAATATATATATATATATATATATATATATATATATATATATTATCTATTAAGTTCTTGCTTTCCAGCCATTTCTTCTAGGGCCCACTCTCTTTGGAAATGGTGGGACCTACATATCAACTTCAATTTTATATTATTTGGAAATGGTGGGACCCTAAAAAGTGGATTAAAAATTGTGGTTTTCTCAATTTTGTTTTTTATTAATTATTATTTTTTGCTACTATTTTATTTACATATATGAGTTTTATAATTACTATTATTATTACTATTCAAATTTAGTTTAAAATTATATTTGAAGCTAATTAAAATAAATTAAAGAAATCTAACAAGTTTTTTTTTTTTTTTTTTTTTTTACTTCTTTTATTGTTACTTTCATTAGTCATTGTGAAATTAGTGAACCAATAGCAATTAGAGAGATTCACATGCTTTGTTGATCGTTTTATTCTCAACCCTCGGAATTTGTAGGATATTAAACTCAAACCGAACTATCTAACTATAATGTCGAGGTTATATTTATTTGTTTGCCCTTTAGACCGAGTTGAATCATACGAGTAGGAATCAATGGTCATTGATGTTTTAACTAAAACATTGTTCCAATTTCAATTGTGTAGGGAGAATAGACAGAGCTACTCGTATCCTGGAGACGAAAGCTCCTCTAGTTCGACTTCGAGTGGCAGCGATGGTGGTGGTGACTATTTCGGGATGATATTCGGTGGTGGCGGGGGGGTGAACAGTGCACCACCACCACCATGTCTTTCAGTTGTTAACATGCTCATGCTAAGTCTGCTTACTGTTTTAGTTCTGTACACGAACAGCTATGATTCTGCTTTATTATCATTGTAGTAATTGGAGAATTTCAGAAGGAAAAAAGATATATAAAACAAAAAAAAGAAAAAAGAAAGATCGATCTTTTCACTTTTCCAACATTGGAGTGCTTAAAAAGAACATACCTGTAAAATATCAACGTTAATGAAACATGGCATACAGCATGTGGAAATGAGGATGATTGATTGTCTCGTCAAAACGAGAGTGAAAGATCGGCTCCACTGTTCTGCAAGTTAGTCTTTTAAGATGCAACTATTTGCAACCAAAAGATTAAAGATTCGAATCTCGAGTTCTACGTATTACTAAACTAAAAAAAACACCAACGAACCATTAAGTAAAACAATAATGCACGAGCACTACCACTCAGAATTTATAAACATGTTGGAAAGAAAAGTAAAACAATAATGCACGAGCACTACCACTCAGAATTTATAAACATGTTGGAAAGAAAAGATCCGCTCTCCACTGTTTTGAGAGTTAGTTATTTAAGATATAACTATTTGTACCTAATCGAGTTAGTTATTCAAGATATCACTATTTGTACCTAAAAGATTAGATGTTCAGCTCTATACGTCAGCGAACCATCAAGTAATCAAGTAGAACAATAATGCACAGGCACTGTCACTCAGAATTTATAAACATGTTGGAAGGGAAAGGGAAAGATCTGCTCTCCACTGTTATCTGAGAGTTAGCCATTCAAGATATAACTATTTGTACCTAAAAGATTAGAGATTCAAATCTCCAGCTCTACACATCAACGAACCATCAAGTGGAACAGTAATGCACGGGCACTGCCACTCAGAATTTATAAACATGTTCGGATGTTCGGAAGGGAAAGACATCCACAAGCCCCATGAGAAAAGTATTTGGATCCTATAACCTCCCTAGTTATAATCAAACATGCTCAAAGACGTGAACTACACAGAATGATAGTTTGTGATTATAATCCATGGCATCGCCTAGAATATTCAAATGTCATAAAGATTTTCACAAGTGCCCTTAAAAAGAAACAGTCTTCTTAACAGTTAAAACACCCTCTTGGTTTGTCTACCTACTAAACTTAAATTGAGATATTACCATATCCATCAGCGACCCCAACCGGATGACGACTTCCCGTCCTCGGCAGAACTGGATTTACTCCAAGCTCCTCCTCCTCCTCCTCCTTGAGGCTGCTCGGTATTCGAGCTGGACGTAGGCTTCTCCCAACCTCCTCCTCCTCCTTGAGGCTGCTCAGTATTCCAACTCGACATTGGCTTCTCCGAACCCCCTCCTCCTCCTTGAGGCTGCTCAGTATTCCAACTCGACATTGGCTTCTCCGAACCCCCTCCTCCTCCTTGAGGCTTCTCGGTATTCCAACTGGATGGAGGCTTCTCCAAACCCCCTCCTCCTTGAGGCTGCTCGGTATTCCAACTCGACGTAGGCTTCTCCCAACCCCCTCCTCCTCCTCCTCCTTGAGGCTTCTCGGTATTCCAACTGGACGTAGGCTTCTCTGAACCCCCTCCTCCTCCTCCTTGAGGCTGCTCGGCATTCCAACTGGACGTCGGCTTCTCCGAACCCCCTTCTTCTCCTCCTTCTTGGGCACCTACATTGGCTTCTTTGTTCCAGGTGGAACTTTGACCCTCACCAGAAGTCTCTGAAAATTTCCAATTATTGTTGCCCTGATTTCCACTTCCCTCATTCCAACCAGAAGCAGGCTTCCCCCAACCTCCATCTTTAGCACTTGCATTCACATCATTCTTTACTGTTTGATTCTCAGTTCCTCCATTCCAACCAGATGCTGGCTTCTGCCAGCCTCCGCCGCCATGAGCATCATCCACCTTTGTTGCTTGGCTCCAGCTGTTCTTCTGACTATCACTCTCTTCAATCTCCTTGCCTGTCGTTGATTTGTTCCACCCAGAATTATGATCCGCACCGGAAGAACCAGACGATTTCCAATTATTTGGCTCATTCCCACTTGTTGGTTCCTTCCAACCTGATCCCTGCTGACCACCAAATTTGTCGCCACCATCATTGCTCGGCTTCCAGCTCTGCGGCTGGTTCTTTTCATCACCTCCTTGGTTCCAAGACCCTGCACCACCGCCACTGCTCCACCTTCCATTATTATTTGAACCACCTTCTTGGTTCCATTTGCCAGAGCCTCTACCTCCAAACCCCCCTCCTCTGTCTGATCCGGACTTCCCCCAGCTACCACCACCACCACCGCTACTCCAACCTCCTCCTCCTCCTCCATTGTCACCATCATTTGAATCACCTTCTTGATTCCATCTTCCACGGCCTCTACCTCCATATCCACCTCTACCGCCCCTCCACCCTCCATTGTCACCATCATGTGAGCCACCTTCTTGGTTCCATCTTCCACGGCCTCTGCCTCTAAATCCACCTCGGTCTGATCCAAATTTCTCCCTGTCACCGTCGTTTGAACCACTTCCACTGCTCCATCTTCCACGACCTCTGCCACCAAATCCACCTCGATCTGATCCAGATCTCTCCCAGTCACTGCTCCCACCACCACCACCACCGCTCCAACCTTTATTGTCACCACCACCACTGCTCCATCCTTTATTGTCACCACCACCACCACTACTCCATCCTTTATTGTCACCTCCACCACCACTACTCCACCCTTTATTGTCACCGCCGCCAGCACCACCACTACTCCACCCTTTATTGTCTTCGCCACCGCCACCACTACTCCACCCTTTATTGTCATCACCACCACCACCACCACTGCTCCACCCTCTATTGTCACCACCACCACCACTACTCCACCCTTTATTGTCACCACCATTTGAACCACCTTCACTATTCCATCTCCCACGGCCTCTGCCTCCAAATCCTCCTCTGCCAAAACCACCTCTATCAGATCTGCCTCTACCACCAAACCGGCCCCTTTCACCCCTTCCTCTGAAACCACCTCTACCTCTATATCCTCCTCTATCACTATTTTCTTCCCTCCAACTTCCATAACCTGAGGTATCATTTGAAACGTCAGTTTGAGCTTCAGCACCACCGGTGGAATGATTAGCATTATATTCATTTCCGGAGTTCCAGTTACTTTTCTCGCCCCAGTTAGAATTGCCACTTCCAGAACTCCAGTTGCTTTTCTTGGCCAAACTAGAATCCTCATTCCCAACATCAGAATTCTTTTTCCAGTTTGAACCCCAGTTACCCGCTAGGTCACTTGAACCAGCTTCCTTGCTGGCCTGACCCCACCCAGATGCAGAATCTCCACCGGAAGTTTTTCCAACATTCCAACCACTGCCTTGATTCTTGAGCTCGCCATCTTTACCACTTTCAACAGATTTCTTATTCCAAGGAGAATTTTCCTCAGAGGCTTTCGTATCATTTGAACTGCGCTGCTTATCCCAACCTCCCACCGATTGATCTCCTCTGGGAGTTGTCAAACTTGAGGAATCAGATTTATCTTTCCCACCCTCATGTTCTGATTCATTAGTGCCCCATTTTGTTCCACCATCAGACCTTGAACTCTGCCATTTGTTACCATTATCACTGGCTTCATTACTCTGTCCCCATCCTTTTTTCCCAATATTTTCATCATGACTACAAAGTTTTGGTTTATTCCAACTGTCGTTTTCTACAGCTCCATCACCAGAAGTAGATTTATTCCAAGCTGAACTGCCACCATTACCCACGTTCTTCGGTTTACCCCAACCACCTGTCTCATCCTGGTTACCCCAGTTTGATGTTTGACTTCCCTTCATTGAAGTGCCTTCATTCCAGCCACTTGGATTCACCTTATTTTCTGCTTCAGGATTGGTACAGTCACCTGCGGATTCCGCTGGAGTCTTATCATCATCAAAATTAGCACTTTGAGTCTTTTTCCACCCCCCAGATTCTGCATCTTTATCTCTGCTCCATGCACTGTGTTCGTTCTTTCCAGATGTTCCATCACCCCAGTTTCCTGTCTGATTATCAGAAGATACCTGCTTTCCTTTGTCCCACTTGTCCCAAGTATGTTCAGTAAGGCCTGCAGAATCTCCACTAGGTACAGCAGTTTTGCCCCAGGCACCAGAGGCATTGCCATCAGAACAAGTTTTGGCAATAGTTTTGCCCCACGAATCGCTCTTTCCCCATCCAGATGCTTGACCATTGTTGGCAGTATCAACACTTGATTTTGCAGCACCCCAGGAAGTGCTTGCATCTGGAGTCGACTTGCTCACCCAAGGAGAATCTTCGTCTATAATTATCATGAACCAGCTTCTTAACAGTTGATATTCATGCATAATAGAGAATCATTTACTAAATCAAATCGTACCTTTTTTAGCATCAAAACTTTCAGAACCAATAGGATTCGTGGAACTGGACCCTGGACCATTCTGCAACCAGAAAAGGGAAGAAAGAATATGCATGGATAATTTTTTGGAACATTAACATTTAACAGCACAAAGAAGAAACAAAGGGAGATGGAAAGCTAACCAAGGTACTGGACTCAGGGAAACTGGGCCAAGGATTTCTGCAGAAAAGTACAATAGCATAAATATTATTGTGAAGGTACATAGAGAAAGAGTAGTGAAATTCATAATTACAGAGGTCCCAATAAACAGCTATTGGATCCTAGATAAGATAAAGCTAAAAATAATCTTTGTAAGGTGTGAAGCAGTTAATGATTTCTAGATTAGATAAAAAAAAAAAAATAGAAGGAATTTATTCAGACATAGAAACAAATGACAATTTCAACATTTTTCCAACCATTGCACATCTTGATGCATGCATGGCCAGAATATATCCATGACTATTTTTCTGACCATAACGTTATAAATTTCTCATGGTCATATCTCAATCACCTAATTTCACTCTCCCTCCTGACCAAAAAATAATCATACACAACACATATCATTGCACTAGAAACTTTCAGCTGATTTATCTAGATTGAAACAAGAAGTTTTTTTTTCTAAATTAAAAATAAAAAATAAAAATGAAGAAGAAGAAGAATAAAGATACAGAAGAAGAGAGAAAAACAATAAACAGGATGTTCATTGAGAGAAAAATGTCGTGAGAATAAAAAGTTCTAAAGAGGGGCTAGTGGGGCAAACCCTCTGAAACAGAACACGACGAAAAGCTCTGTAAAATATTTAAAGCAAAAACATGAAAGGAAAACTTCATAAATCTCCCCACAAGATTGAGTGCATTTCAACAGAAAATACACACTTGCAGATCCATCCACGTGTAAAAGTGACAAACGTTGTCTAACTTTGCCTGATTATAAGTTCATATAGTTAAAAGTAGTAAAGAAAAGCATCAAGGAAACTTTCTTTGAACGGTGATACATTGAAAACCAGGTAGATAATCACATTCTACAAAGTTCAGACTTGATCATGTAAAATAATTAAGTTAGCTTATCCATAAATGTTCTTTTCGTTTCCATTTTCTTCTTAAATTTAACTTGTGGATTGAAAAAAAAAAGTTGAATATCCATGTAATTGGTATCCAAAAACATACCCTTCTGACGAAGGCCCGGTAGAATTCCAGCCATCACCACCTGCAGATGACCCTGTACCGCCCATCCAATCTGAAAAAGAACAAGGGTCAACTAGTAATCATTTAAGAGAGAGAGTGAAAACTTTCAGAGAAAAGAAAATAGCAAAAACAAAATAAAATAACTTGTATGCAAAGAAAATCAATCTGCACTTGGTAAGAAAAATGCATTGAAAATAGATTAATGTAACCTCTCAAACATTCAAGTGAACCCATTCACACAAGAAATTAAGTCGCAAGTTTTCAAACACGAATTCAAACCTTGGGAGCTGCCTTCATTTCCCAGAATATCGAATGGTTTTAGGGGATCCTCACTGTAAAATGATATTTATATTGCATGAGAGAGAGGGAGAGATAGCGGGGGTACAATCTATAATAAACTGCTCGAGAAAACATTGACACTTCTAGTTAAAGTACCTAAGAGACACTGCAGAGCTCTTTCTCTGTACCTCTGAAAGAAAATCTGATCTGACTGTGGAAATTCAATTTAAGAAAATAAATAACAGAGGAAAAATTTTCTAGCCTCCAATCTAACCAGTACTCATAGAATATTCAACAAGGCCAAAATACAATTACGACCAACAGACCTGTAAGAACCTTTTGTTGAGAATCAAGCTTCACTGTAACATCTCTTTTGCGTACAGCTATAACACGGCACAGGTATCCCTTTAAAGGACCAACACGTATTCTCAAGGTCTGACCAATGGAGAACATTCCATCTCCTCTGTCATCACGGTTGTCTGCATCCAAAGAAGGTCATCAAAAATAATATATACAGGTAAAACGCCTATGCATCAGTAATATTGATACATACACTCACGACCAGTTTCCTTCTCTGCCCATGGCTTTTTAGGTGATAGAGGTGACTTGGGAGAAGAGGAGAAATCCTCAAAACCAGAGAAACCCTTGTCATCCTCCTAAATGGAGAAGAAAAATTGTTGGATTGGGCACAAGCTAAACAACTGAACGACAAAATAAAGAGAGTTCACAAGACCTTTCCACTAGGTGCATCATAAGAAATCTTGATTTTCTCACACTTGTTAGATTTGCAGCAGAAATAACCATCGTTTTCCATCTCATTCTCATCATATACAAATACTGTGTGTCGGTATACATGCTTAACAATCCCTTGCTTATCCTGTAGTTCAAAGCAATTGTGTAAGACAGCCTACTTTACAGGGTACATCAACAGGTAAATTGTTCACAAAAAAAAAACCTTCAATGATCCTTCCAAAACTTTGACATTGTCTGAAACAGAGATCATCTTTCCATTGTGATCGGCAGCAGTAAATTTGGCATCCAAAGACCCACCTTTTAACTCTTTCCGTTGCACATTCACCACAACAGATCCATTAGGGCTGTCCTTCAAAATCTAGATAATAGAAATGTAGGTTGGAAAGAGAGTAGAACAAACACAGGTAATAGAAATAAGTGAAGACGCCCGAGGTAAAAAAAATAAATAAACTTTTAGTGACATGTATACCTTGTAGCTATCATCTTTTTCCATTCCTAATATCATCCCGAAATCTTTCCGGCTGCAAGGGACAGCACGGTTACCAATACCATTGCAAAATGACTGAGTTATGAGTCAACAGAAATCTGTTAGTACAATTTTTTAGTAAATATAATGAAGGACTCACCCAAAACAGATAAGATCATGATCTCCAAAGCTGCTCGTGGAACAAGACCCCGATGAGCCCTCTCCTTTTCCACCCCCTTTTTCAGTCCTAATAATCTTCTTTTTCTTCTTTTCACCATAAAGTTGAGAAAGCCACTCCAGATCATGAGATTCATTGCTCTCAGGAGGCTTGAACTTTAAGAGCTCATCTTCAGATGGCATCACCCCCCAGCAGTTTAATGAATCTAAAGAAATTTTTTTATATAGATATCCATCCTTGAGCATCATCCCATCAAGAAACTCAAAAAGCTTTCCAGTTTCACGGTCACGCCTAAATTGCATAAGTGGTCGAAATTCGCTGCAAAAAGCAAAGAAAAAATCCTCAATGTCAATGTACCCATAAAGGGGAAAAAATTAATAAAAGCAACAAACTATTTCTTATTACTCAAGTTCGCTAGAGTTGATCAATCGTGGTGCGGGATTGGAAGTTTTCTTAGCAGCTGATCCTCCACCCTATAATGAGAAGAGATTATTTCAGGTGGAATATGTACTCAGTAGCATTTTTCTCTTTAAACATAAACGCATCAAGTATATATATATAGAAGAAACTAGAGAGAGACTTTCATATCACAAACTGTCATTAACAAATTTTACAATTGAATGCTCCATCAGAAAATATATAACCAAATTCTTTCATGCAGAAAAACATGTGAAATGAGAGAAGGTTTTCCAATCCACTACATGATGTCATTAAACTACGTTCAATTTCTCCCAAAGCAGATACAACTTTTCATTCCAATCTAATAGTAATATTCTTGGATTTGACCAAGGACACGTCCAATACACCATTTTGGATCTTATAGTGAATAACCAAAGTTTTGTTTTGAAAAGAACCCAAACTTTTGCGGTGTACTAATAGTGAATAACCAAAGTATTATCTGAAATATCTAGATGGAAAAGGCCAGGTAAAGCCTGTAAGGGAATAATATAATGGTTGCCAGTAATGTAGTATCATATAGTAGTTGCAACAAGCAGAACAACACTACAACCATTCAAGGTAGAGTTCGAAAGGTAAGCAAGACTTCATACAAATTTTTCAGCCATTGCTTGGAGATCAATCCTTGGAACCAGTTTCACTGTCGCTCTCTTGCGTGCATTGTTGACCGCAACAATCTACAGAAAACATTAAATATTAACTTTTTTTTAAAAAAAAGGGAAAGTAGTGATTAAAAATGCTAAAACCCAATCTGTCCACGAGTTTGCACACTCTACCTGAGCAAGGTCTCCCTTGTATTTTCCATTTTTTACACGAGCCATGGTACCCACAGCAACTTCACTGACTCTACTTCGAACAGTAAGTAACTGAGAGATGTCGTTTTCTGGAACAGAAGCTACACGGGTAGAATATATTCCACTTATGCCTTTACATGCCTGGATCCATAGTTGCCCATCAAGTGATATACTTACTACTAACTACTGAAATTATGTTAGCAGTACCAGAAAATCTAGTTACCTCAATCAAATCATACTGCCTAGGAGCTTCAATGTAAATAAAACCTTTTACATGCTCCACACAAAATGCAGCTTTTATCTGTAGCTTGGTACCAAATGAGTTCAAATCAACAAATTTCTGCATAAGACAAAAAACTGATTGCCGCTCACGCCCAACCTACAAATAAAATTTCCAGACCGTAAGAACTAATAAATGGAGTTAGAAAAAATGAAAATGAATATTGGATACTCAGTTCTTGTCTGAAGCATTTGTTTCATTGATTTAAAACCATACCATGCATTTAACCTTCCACAGAGAGATAGTATCCCTGGCAGATTGCAGGGGAGGGTTTCTTCCAGTTGAATTTTTGTTCTCATAATTTTCTTCTGCAAATGCACCGTATCCAGGACCTTGATTGTAGTGTTCCTCCATCATTCTATCAAATTCTTCTTCATTCATTTCTTCTTCTTTTGGGAAGAATGGAATATTTTGAGCTTTTGCATCATCATTCTTAAAAGCCGGTATTGTCTCAAAATCTTCCTCCATGAAACCTATTTTTGTGAAATAAGAGGGTTGAGTAAAAAGAAAAGAATAAGCTTTTGTGAGGCTTGTTCTCTTAAAGAGGTAACACATACACCCCAATTTGGATAGAAAAATATTGATTGTTTTTTTGTTAACCACGGGCAAAAAGAAAATAGATAAAATAGCAGACCTTTTTCTCACAGAATTTCTTTATTTACATGAAACACTAAGGGGATCCAGCCAACGAATCAAGAGAGCTCAATTACCCATGATAGAATGGTAAGCAGGTTGGGACTCATTGATTTTTTTAGAACCAAAAATGGCACCAAACCAAACCCATCATTAAAGGAAAAAACCAAAGAAGAAACCAGTTTTTTGAAACCTAAATTGACTGTCAGAACAGAACCAACAAAATAGATCACCAAACCAAAACAATACCTCACCGAACAAACAAACAAAAAAAAATCCAGATTGCACAAATAATTCTCAGTGGGTTTACTTATAGGCTTAAACCTCTATTCTTACAGCTTGTTTGCAGCGATTATTTATTAACATCATTCATTTCTTTGAAATTCCACAACAGTAATACCAATAAGAAGAGAGAATATGACAGAGGTTCTCAAAGAAAATTGCACCAAAACTAAAAATTATTAAGATAAAAATCAATGCAATTTTTAGCCAAAAAAGTAATTCCATCTTAGAACTTAACTTTCCGGTTACAAGGCCTTACTTTCAACTTCGAGTATGATTCTATACAACTTCAAACAAACACACCAAATATTTTTTTAAAAAGAATACAAGATTCTTCTTAAAATGAAGGACCTCAAATATAAAAGGACTGATTGAGTGCAAAAAAGCCAAAAATGAACACTCCGTAGCAATAATTATTATTCTCAAGTTAAGAGTTTCAAAGACTGAAATGTCTTTCTTTAAAAGTAGATTTGTGAAATTGATTGCTAATAATAAAATTCAACTGATGGCTAAAGTTCATACGGCCTCTTGGAGGACTCTCTCCAAACTTGTGATAGCAACTCATTTTCTGAAATTTTTTCTTTACTGTTACTTCTTAGTTTCAGCTTGATTAGTTCTGGCTTAGAAAGTTTGGTTGACGTGCTTCTCCATTAGTTTCTAGTTTGTTACTTTTCAAATATTTTGTCTATTGCAGTGATACGAGAGGAATATATTACGGCCATTGCTGACTTTGAATTCCAAAATCAGTTCATTCATCAATTACCAAATTTGAAGCATCTAAAGCCAAAACGAAAGAGCCACAACGGATACAATCCAGCGACTTCGATCAATCTCGCTAACAGCAGCGGATACTATTCCGCGCAAGCCTCTCCACATGTTCAGCAAATATGTCAAAAGTATCACCAACCTAGAGAATGAGACACACGTCTCTCAAATCAAACTATTTGGGTAAAAATTTTAATTCAGCGAGCTTTCTCAAAGTAGGAAAAGGGTCTTAGGCGGTGGATCATCTAGGATGAATGAACAAACAGTCCTAAACTACGATCATTTTCACCAATTACTTCTATCTAACAGTTTCAACAAAAATAACACCAAAATCTCAAGAACAAACACAATGTAGAAAAACAGTACACAACAACAATCTCCTAACAGTACATCGAACCCCCAAAAGCGACGAAAACAACGACGACGATATTTTTTTAAAAAGAGAGAGAGAGAGAATCTACCATCAAAAAAATCACTGTCATCGCTTTCGCCACCGAAATCAGGAGTGACATCCTCAAAGAACTGGAGAACGCTCCGGTCCCTCCTCTTGCGGGCTGCGGAGGAATTATTATCATCGCGAAGCTTCCGTTTACCGGGAGAGGCATCTTTGGCGATCCCCTTGCCCTTGGACGCCATGGCTAGGGCGTAGAAGGGAAGGTCTGAAATTGGAGCAAGGAAATGTGAAGAACCAGAGAGAACATGCCAGATTGAGAGAGAAAATGGAGTGCGCTCTTCGGGCGTTGAGAGTGTATCAATCTGCTCTCAGCAGAATTCCCTCGCTTTTCCACGGTACGATGCGTTTCGCTCTTTTTCCCTTTTCTTTTTTTTTTTTAATCTGTTTTCTCTAAATTATATTTGGAAATTTGAATTTAGTAATTCATTTTTTTAATTGCAATCATTAATAATTTTATTACCATTATTATTATTATTACCATTCTTGCTTTTATATATATCACTTATTTTATTTTCTAACAAATTCAAGTAGTCTATCACAGTTTTATAATCGAAGTTAAACTCTGTAAAAATTTTTAGCTCAAATAATAATCGAATAACCTTATGTAAACTCTGTAAAAAAATTTAGCTCAAATAATTGGGTTAAATAATAAATCCAAACTAAGAATATACATGTTCGGATTGGATTGGGTTGAGAGATTTTTTTTTATCCAGAATCCAACTGAAAACTTTTCCCAACCCAATCCTTTAGATTGGGTTCGAGTTGGGTTATCAAGTTTTATTTATCCACAATTTATAATTATTAGAATACAATCTTAAATAAAAATATATTAAAAATTTTCAAACAAACACAAATCAATCCATAATTATTTAAAAAAATAAATAAATAATTGTTCGTAAAATATATTTAATAAAATGAACAATATAATAAAAAGAAATTAAAAATAATAAAATATATAATTTATTGAACATTCAACCTTATAAACATTTTTCAAAATAACTTAAATATATATAAATCATAATTAATAACCTTATCTTAAACCATATTCTTAAAATAAATAATTGTTTGTATTATATAATAAACTATATATTTAATAAATAAATAAAATAATATAAAAGAAATTAAACAAAATATATTTTTATTTGGATCGAGTAACTCGAAAGTTCTGTCTCACAAACCTGAAACCGAAACGATTCGTTTGAGTTTAGAAAAATGAATCCAATCCTATCCGAAATGCTAATCAAACCCAACCCAAACCTTATAGTTCGGGTTGGGTTGGTCTGGGTTGTCGGGTTGAATGTACACCCCTAATCCAAACCAACCATCAAATTTGTTTGTTTTCAAATACCTCAATCATCAACATTTGGAATGATAGTTGACGTCTTTTACCATTAATGGTGGTTAGATGGACTTTCAAACATGACTTAAAATGTGTTAATATAAGCATATATTTTCAACACACGAGGTAAGAGTAGAGATGTTCACTTAACTTGGAAGACGTACTTCGACTGGGCACGAGGATTTCCCGTTTAAACGATAATAGGGGAAGGAATGGGAAGAGAGCTCTCTCCGTTAAATAAATGGGGTCGGGGACCGGGATCAATTGTTTAGATATCCTAAACTCAGCTACATCTTAAAGAGGTTGTGTCGTTATAATTCCACACGAACCTGAACCCAATTCTTACCGAAATAAATAGAGAATTAAAAAAAAAAAAGTTTATATTAGAAAAAGATGGAAAGGATTAATTAATAGTAAACAACATTAATTACAGCTTAATTAATACACTTAAAAAAGACGGACAGAAGCCAAAATTAAACCATATTTTACTTATTTTCTTCCTTATTTCTCTCATCCTTCGCAATGACGCCGTTTTGTTCTTCTTCTTCATCCGCTTCTTTAAACCTCCTATAAATATCAGTCTTGTAAAACCCTCTGGTTCTGAGAACCAAAAGGAACGAAAACAAAGCCCCAATCAAAGTAACTCCGGTGATTATAATGAACGACAGTTTGAAGCAATCGACTCCGACGCAGTTCAGCTCTTCTCCGGCTATCCTCTTCTCTCCGGCCGCCGCCAGCTGCCGGTTCGCCTCCGTGTCGTACAAATGACCGGCGACTCGAACGTTGAGGAAATACAACCCGATCGGACTCGCGACGGATCCGAAATTGTAGAGCGTGGAGTAGTATTTGAGGCCGAAGACCTCGGAAATTATGGCGAATAGAATCGGCCATTGGGCGCCGTAGCAGAATCCGATGACGATTGAGGCGATGTAGAGGCCGCCGGGGGGATTGAAGGCGATGAGGAGGTGGCCGGCGCAAGAGAGGAGGAGGATTAGCGTCAGAATTAGGGTTCGAGGAAATTTGTATTTGGTGAGGAAAAATTCAGAGGTGAAACCCGAAACCACGCGCCCTAAGTAATTCCATATGCTCACTAACGATACGAATGTGCTAATGCTCTGTTTAGGGTACCGAAGAGAGGCGCCGATTTGGCCGAGGTTGTCGATAGCGGTGAGAGTGCCGCCAACGCCACACGCGGTGGAGAGAAACAGGAGGAGCATGTCGACGCTAAAGAGAGCTTGTAGAATCGTGAAATCTTCCCCTCTCTGCGGCGGATTCAGGGCGGTTTTCCAGCACGACGGCGTTGGTAGATCTGGTTTTTCGGCGGATTTCAGGCGAGATGCTTCTTCGTTTGCATAGGATTCGAGTTCGATCGGTAACTGCGGCGGTTTTTCGGTGACGATGGTGAATGGCGGAGGATTTTGAAATTCAGATAACTTTCTGCGCCAAAATTTATAGTCCTCGGCGATGACGACGAAGACAGGGAAGAAGAGGAGGAGGACGACCACGGCGGCGCTGAAACTGTACTCGATGTGGGAGAATTTGAATTTTTGCTGAAGGATTATCATCACGGTAAGAAACCCGGCAAGCCCAAGAGAAATATACAGAAACCTATCAATTATCAAATGAAAATAAATTCAAATTAGTCAATTTTTTTTTCAGATAATAATAATATAAATACGACTAAATTAGTAATAATTACATGGGTTTTATCTAATATTTTCTTTTTTCAAAAGTGTTTAAATTTTATTTTTATTTTTTTTCCTACTTAATTTGATGTATTTTTTAATATGTATTTATAAAAGATTAATTATGTATATATTTTGAAACTTACCCCACTAAAACTCAATTATGTATTTAATTTTCATTTATATATTTGAATAATATAATAAAATAAACAAAAATTTAATGGTCAAGACACCATTAATTAGAGGTGGGGACTTTTATTTACTATTTTATTTTAATTAAAAATATTTGGGTATCTATGATAAAATATTAATTAATATCTTATTCACTTTGAGTATAGTAATTAATTACCTAAATTATTAAAATTTCAAAATTTATCTCTAAAAAAATCATATTTGAGATTTTATTTGAAAAAAAAGAGCATTAATATTCCATCCACGTTTTTTTGAAGAAAAAAAATTGTGAGATTCCACTCGATTATTTTGAGCTAAACATTATATGTAGGGATATGGAAACTATTACCTGGTGGACGGGTTTTAAAATCCTCGAGCGGAAGTCGAGAAGATAATACTCAAGAAAGTCTAAAAAGAAAAACTCGATTATTTTGAGATAAACATTATTTGTAGGGATATGGAAACTATTCCCTGGTGGATGGGTTTTAAAATCTTTGAGCGAAAGTCTAGAGAAGACCATACTCGAGAAAGTATGAGAAGAAAAGTTAAAAAAAAAAAAAAAAGACAATATCCACGAGAAAGGACAATACCCGAAAGAAAAAATCTAAAAAAAACATTAAAAAAAGACAATATCCATAAAAGGTCTAAAAAAAACCTTAAAAAAAACAATATCCACTCAGGAGGACAATACCATAAAAAGTTTGAAAGGAAAAAGTCTAAAAAGAACAATATGGACTGCTACAAAATCTATACTAATCTATTGTTAACCTATGATATTTATTATATGATTAGCGTATTTTTTAATAAATTTTAAATTAAATAATTTAAATTTATTTATTTTATCAAAATTAATCAAATAATAATAATAATTTACATGCAATAAAATCAATTTATAATTAACAAACATTTTTTAGAAAATGAAAAAAAAAATGAAGTTCTATTGAAAATTTATAAATTAAAATGAAATATTTATTTAAAAGTAAAAAAAAAAAAAAAAAAGTATTTATTAAAAGGGATGAGGAAATCGAGTGTAACCTGTAAAAAACTCTGAGCTCATTAGAGTGGTGATCGACCTTCACAATCCGAATGGTTCTCAAAAACGCGACAGAAATCACCGCCGGCAGCCAAGCGATGAGAAGAATCAACGATTTAGAATCATCGCCATAAATCGCGTGATAAAACTGCGTCAAAATCGCGCCGCTCAATCCCACATACCCTTTCAAAATCCCCAAAACCACGCCTCTCCTCGCCGGGTAATTCTTCACGCAAGTCACCAACGCGCCGGTGTTCGCAAACGCCGTCGAATTCGCCCCTAGGCAAATGTAAAGACACATCAGCCATACAGCCGGCGCCGCCACTTTTTCCGTCACCGACAGCCAAATCATAAAATATCCGACGAAGTTCATCGCCGCACCTATCGCCAGAACCACCCACGGCGGCGTGATTTCCGCGATTAAGCCGGAAATTACTCCGACGTTCGTGCCTAGATCTTTGAAGAAACTGATTAGGTTTAGAGTGCTTTGATCATAGCCGAGGACGGATTTTATGGCGCCGGAGTATAGGCCGAACATGTACGGAGTTCCGGCGGTGGACATGATTAGGAATGAAGCGAACACCATGAACCAAGGCCCGGTGACCACGTGGATGAAGAAGGAGGCGGTTATTGTTGTCAAGGAACGACGCCGTTTTTCGTTTGACGATCCTCCTCCCCCTCCTCCGCCGCCGCCGGCTCCGATGACCTCCATTTTTATGGCCGTTCTAATTTTTCTTTTCGCTCACTATGCGAACTTGTCTATGGAGTGTTATTATGGGTTTATATAGAAATTGATTTCTTTTAATTTTATTTATTAAATAATAAAAAATTCAAAAATAAATTTTTATATATATTTTTAATTTAAAATTTTATCTTTATTATATACGTAAAACTTTAATATAACTTTATAATTTTTTTTTAAACACAAATTTATATTAAACTCAAACCCTCTAATTTTATATAAATTGAAATAATGCTTGAATATTTGACTTTATATAATTAATTAATTTGTAAAAAAATGTACAAAATATTGCTAAATTTGCGAACGAGAATTATAGTCTACTAAAATATGTCATGGATAAAGACGCACATTATCATTTCAAAGGCTAAAAGTTAAATCCTATGCCGACACGTAATTACTCAAAAAAATTATATTTTTTTTCAGTAGACATATTCATTTAGTTATTCGAAATTATTATTTTCTTGTAACAAAATAAAAGTCAAATTTTAAATTTACGATATTTTAACACAAAATATATAATATTAACTAATCGAGTTATAATTAAAAAGAAGTGTTTCTAAATTATTATTTGAAAATATTATTAAGTTTTAATTAACTTACTAATGTCGACTTTAATTAGTAAAAAAAACAATAAATCTTCCTAAATGGTTAAAATATATATATTCAATTCAAAATTAAAAAATTAAAAATATATATTTTGAATTCGGCTTGACATTTTATTATCTTCGAACTCGAACCCCAATATTCAATCGAATTGAAACGTCCGGGATCATACGAGAAAATTATGAATTAATAACGAAATTAAATATAACTATTTATTTTTCATTATATAATAAGTGCAGTGATATAAATTAATTTTTAAAATCAAAACACTGTTAAAAGAAAAAAGGAAATAAAGAAATAAACCATATTATTTTCCACGTATGACTTGGGATTTTCATTTTATTTTATTAGTCTTTTTTTTTTTTTGAAATACTTTATATTAATATTTTTTAAGGATATAATAGCTCAAATTATGAGATATTTTGTTAAGATGATATTGACATGGTTGAAATTTTGAATATGAAAATTGGAGATATTATTTTTATATTGGGACATGGTGGATAATAATTAGACAAAAAAAAAAAATTTATAATGCAAGGGGCCACTTAATTAATAATATATTAATTTTATTGGGACTTTTATTTATTTTTTAAATATTGCAAAAAAAAAATAACAGCTCGTTAGATTCGAACTCACCACATTAAAGAGTTAGATAAGTTAGACAAAAAAAAAAAAAAAAGTTTAATTGATTTTTCAAATATTCCAAATTAAAGTTGACGGTTTGTTCAAATATTTCAAAATTAAAGGATTATATATATATATTTAATAATTACAAAAACGAAAATAATTAACGAGTTACTTGTAAAAATAATTAAAAATAAATATTTAGTCTCGGCTCTATTGGAAATTCCGTCTGCCCATACAGTATTCCAACTGGGTAGTTTCTACTGCTTATCTAGGGTTGAGCCCTGGAATTTGACGGCGGATTTAAAAAGCCACCTACAGATAACTTACGCCCAGTTATTCTAAATAACGCTTGCTTACTCCCCATATATCGTCATTGCTTTTTCTCCAGGAAAAGAAGTTTATGACCCGTAGGCCTTCTACCTCTACGCGGCATTGCTCCGTCAAACTTTCGCCCTTTGCGGAAAATTTCCAACTGCTGTCTCCCATAGGAATCTGGGTCATGTCTCAGTCAAACTTTCGCCCTTTGCGGAAAATTTCCAACTGCTGTCTCCCATAGGAATCTGGGTCATGTCTCAGTCGCAGTGTGCTGATCATCCCCTCGGACCAACAACTGACCATTCGATACTTTTTTTTAAATTAAGCTTATAAACACTAATTCAATAAATTTTAGAAATTAAAAACTTAATTTTAGTTTTGAAATATGACATGATTTTTTTAAGATATATGGGAAAATTGGATTAAAAAAATAAATATAATTTAAAAAATAAAGTAAAAAATAATTATAAAATTGAATTGCAAGCTCCAATGCGTTAAAAATTGTGAGCTCTGTGTTTAAGTTAATATTTTATGGACAGCTCTGGACATAGATTTTCTCGCTGTTTCTTCCCACTTTTGCTAGTAAACCAAAAGTCAATAAATAAAGACAAAATTTTATTGGAGGGAGGTGGTTGTAATTAATTACTTAATTACTTAATTAATTACTTTGATTAGTGAATCAAGGAACATAATCTTATTTCATATAGAACTTGGGATTTTGATTTAGAGATGCTGCACATGGACAAATGAATGATTATATATATATATATATATATATTTTAAATATAATTGATTTTTAGTATAAAATAAAAAAAGGCTATTAATTTGTACTTATTTATTACATATATGCCATTAGTTGACCATGTAAATTGATTTATACTTTTTTTTAAAATTGTATCCAATTAATATTATGTAAAAATCATATAATTTTGTATTTTTTATAAATTTATTATTATATGGAATGATAATTCAATATCGATTTTAATGGTATGAAAAATAGCGTTTATATGTGTAAAATTAAATATAAAATAAAATTTAGACGAGATATATATGGTTGAAAGTGATTTTAATTACAAAAGTGCCATTGTAGTGAAAAACACGGGACCTATTAAAAAAAATGCTTCTTAATCTATAAAATATCAAAAAGGCATTTTTCATCCCAAATTAAGTTGTACAAGTTAACCCTCCCGATCTCTTGCGTCAATGAAGTTTTCAAATTCAAAGATTCTTATGGTTTTATTTGATATAAAGTTTAAATCATCGTCATGGGTACGTGACAGTTTTAGTTCTATCCTTTAAAAAAATTCAAGTATGTCGACAAACCATCATTTTTTTTATTTAACATGGGCGTTTCCAACCAAAATTTAATACTACTTTATTAAGATTATTAAAATTAGAACGATAATACAATTACTAAACAAACCCTGTAATCCTCCTCCTTCGATGACGATTCAATTTTTTATTTTTTTAATTTTTGGAGTTTATACTTAGTTTCCTCGAGAACAAAAAAAAAAAACGACTTAATTTTCAACGACCGAAAATAAAAAATAAAATGATTATAAAAGAGGAAATTAATTGTTTATTGGGATTGATTCCCTCATAGGTTGAAATTGAGGCATGTGAGTCAAGATAAGAGTCAATGTTTATCACAAAGAAGATGGGGTTTTCTCAATTGTCAATCCAAAACGTTTGACCAAATGGGAATAAGGAATCAGCATCACTCTTTCAAGTAATATCAACCAATTTTCTTTTCGTCCAAATAAGATAATGGTCTTGAAATAATGAATTTATTGATTCAAGGAAATGATGGTTGTCTGTTGTCCCTAAGAAAACAACAAATTAAAGTCAACGTAAGGGTAGTAAAGTAATTCAACACATTGATTCAGAACCCTAAAATATGAGGCTGGAGAGAGTAGAGTGAGGATATCTCCCCCTAAGAACATCACATATTTCTAATATCTAAAATTTTTGTTACTATGTGTTTTCATAAGCCATGGAGATTTGGATGTCATCAAAGCCAAAAAAAAAAAAAAAAAAAAA